ACGGCGCCGCGCAGCGCCTTCTCCGACATATCCGCGCCCTCCGCCTCCCTCGCACTGCCCTCCTGCCCATCACATCTTATCTAACTATGTATCTTATGTAGCCGATGTTATATTGTAGCCAGCTGTAGCCAACAAAACTTATATATATGTCGCAGGAAGCTATAAATTGATTGTTGCTTTATGTGTAACAAACGTTATTGTCTTATTGTCTTGTCTTGTGTTGTTGATTTGCTATGTGATAAGTGTAGATTCCGAAATGTATTCTGTTAATCCGTGTCTCTAGAGTTTTAATGCTCGCACTTCACCCAAATGACGCCCACGAAACCAAGACCCAGTAGCAATGATGTCGGGGAGAAAGACCCAACTCCGACATGTATATATAACAAAAATTATATATATAACAATAACAAGGTGTATCCATGCAGCTTTATCCATATGAAGTTATAAAAACTTTATTTTATTGTTTACATTTGTCAAATACTCATACTACTCTTATCACTCTTCAATAGCAAATTTCAAAATTCAAATGCACAAATGACAACAAAGGCCTTCAACATTGACAAAAGGTTAAATCTAAATACAGAAGTACAGATAGACAGATAGATAGGCTTACTTAGATTCTTCGACTGATGGAATTCTATAACCAATTTGGTTTTGAGCAGAAATTGTCTTCACAATGGCCACTAATATTCAAGAACAATTTATATATTATATGATTATATTATTGGTGTCATATAAAAGAAATGGATACTTCATAGCTGAGGGTGTGAGTGACTAATCAACTTTTTTCAGACAGTTTTGTATAAGTAATGATGCGTGTGCGATGCTAACAATGATCACTTTGAAACATGGCATTTCCGTTACATGACATAGTTGTATGGAGCATTGCTTCTACTTTAAGCACCAGTTTTATTTTTGAAATACACTTCTATCTATACTTCTACACTAATATTATAAAGAGGAAAGATTTGTATTTTTGTATGTATTGAAGTAACTCTAAAACAACTGGGCCGATTTTAAAAATTCTTGCACCATTAAAAAGCTATGTTATCACTGAGTGACATAGGATGTGTTATATTTTTATACAGCCTTCTGTTACCTATTTATTTAGTGACTTATGATTGCACATGAATTAAAGTGAATTAATATTATGTCAAAATACTTACCATTATTTGGGAAAGCATAACTAAGTTAAATAATAGTAATGAGACACTTATATTACGAATTCGTCGCACTGCACCTTAACTGCTGATATATATTTATGTTATGTTGTTGAAGTATAATTATAACTATGTTTTTTCTTCACTAAGCATGCAAAAATTGTTACATTCCGCTTATGATCTATTTATTGCTATGTTCCTACTTTTACTGTACATAATTATAAACTTCTCAGATATGTTACATATTTGTTGAATTAACAACCATTACTTTAACAACGGTTATGTGGCCGAAAACCTAATAATGAAAGCTGAAAACCACTGATAAATTTAATGAATAAAATTTATTCGATAAACAACAGAAAGCCGGTGACGAGCAGACCTCACAAATTAACCGACTGAGACTGACAGCTAACACTGTTAACACTGTTAGCCTAACAGTGACAGCTAACACTGCTAACACTGTTAGCCTAACAGTGACAATGACAAGCAGCACAGCAGCTGAAGCAGCCAACTTGACTTAACAGCTGAGTGAGTTATCTGCGAGATCTGTTAAGTTCGCGTGATTAGATCACCGTGTTTCATTTTCTATCCACACGTGACATGAACCACAAAAGAACCCGGATTATTTTGAACCCAGAGATCGCGTAATGTTGGTCACTCGCAACAATTTGTTTTAATACAATTGTGTTAATAGTGGAATTACTTACAGGATCAGATAAGTGCTACATTAAGTTTTTAAAAGTTACAATTATTAAAATAAAAATGACGAGTATAATGTAGTAAAGTATGAATAAAAATTAATAAAGAATTGTCGAGATATTTATTTAAAAAAAAAAGAAAAAACGTAAAATATTGCCAAACTTTCTCTAGCGCTGAAACGAAGTTACTTTGGATCGAAGTTGGGTCAAATAGTCATATTTTTGGCCAAGGAATTTGTGGTAGGTAGTCCATTTTATTTGTCTCTTCCGGACGTTTAAACTAATTTAGTTGTTGAGCCACAGCTCAACAGTTCAAGGCTATGTGAAATGCTTTACACACCTCTAAATATGTCAAATGTCAATGTCATTACTAAAAACATTATAACCTACAAGTAACGCGTCGTGTTTTTCTTGTTTTGTGTTGTTACACTTTGTTTTGCCACAATTTTATCGTTACTGTATTTGGTTATATTATTGTATGATTTCATTAAATCTATTGACGTGAATTGTAATGACTACAATTATTTGATAAACAGATGTATTGCCCTTCACGACTTTAGAAAACGTAAATATGTCGAGTTGGGTCGGTTACGCAGTGTCCGTAAATTGTGGAGAGCCCCTCGGCTGTTACCAGGGCACAATTGTGGCAACCGATGGCAGCACAATAACGCTAACAAAGGCTTTTAGAAACGGTTTTCCCTATCCAAAGTCTAAGGTTACGCTTAAGTAAGGTCCATTTTTACTTATCTGAAATAACTTTATAGTAACACGTAGTTATTACTATAACTTTAGGTAATATTATAAATTTTTCAGTGCTGTTGACATAAAGGAGTTAAAGATCATAGAAGAGACACATGGCATGCTCACTGAACAAACACACAGCACAGTTTCAGTCACTAAGAGCAACAAGAAGGGGCAGCGGGCTACTGTGTGTGAAAATTTGCAGGCTAATCCGTCAAATTTAGTTAATACTGGTAATGTTTTTCTTATGTTTCTTTTACATGCAAAGTAGAACCTAGTTTCATTGACATTGTTGAACACAATATACAACTTGTCAACCATATACATAGATTCCATGCTGATTGTCATTTGCAGTCGATAATGTGTATAACACCAATTTCCTAAAACATCCAAGCTTATTAATTATTAATACAAAATTATTTGTTTAAACATCTAGTGAAAATCAAAATTGAATTTTTATGTTGATTATATGATAACAACAAGGTCACAAGAAATGGCTGGTTTTTATTTTTTTTTAATCTTTATCATGTTGAAATTGATTAGGTGGTAACAAACATTAAATAATACAAAAATAATTTGTGTGTGCAGTAGGAAGTCCAGCAGCGAGCCATGTGAGCTCAGTGCAGGCGGGGCCGGGCCGCAGCAAGCCCATCGACATACAAGCTCCTAGAGGCAATAAGAATATTACCCATTCAGGTAGGCTGCGGTGCGGTGGAACCATCTTGTTGCATTAATTCATCAAAGTCTGTTCCTTCCGTATTATCGCACATATATTGTCTCGCTGGCGCAGCGGCTCGCCGCGGTGAA